AATTGTAAAAAAACCCAAAAAACATTTAAGCATACAAATATGAAACGTTCAAGTTTATCATGCAAATAGTAGTCATATATGGTAATAAAAACATGTAGTAGTTCTTGATTGACGTGAAAAAAATGCAAAGCATCCTAATTAGTAACTTCTATAGAGTCCCAATGTCAAGCAAGTTGAAAATCAAGGTTATGTTCTAAATTTAACCATAAATTATTATTAGCTTGTACCAAGTACAACCAAGGGCAATCATGCCATAAATGGGAAAAATGAAAGAAAATGCAATTTTTTATAATTAATTCCAATAGTATATAAGAGTATACTCCTTATAAATTTCTTTATTATAAAGAAAATGGAGTCAGATGAATTACACATAAATTTTTGTTTTTTTTTTGAAAGATGTAAGAAACAAAAACGTTTTAAAATATTTATAGAGAAAAATAAAGATAAAAAAATAAGAAAAGAAAAGTAAATTCACAACTATCACTACAAATTGAATCATCAAACTGGGAAGAAAAGCAAAAAGAAAAAAAAGAAAATGAGCAAGTATCTCTACAAACACCATTACCGAATTGGGAAAATAATACTGAGACAAATTACTGTGAAAATTAAAATCGTACGTCACCAACACTAGTGTCTCCATAGCCTATGGATGAAGATTTAACATAAGAAAACGATGTAAAGTAAATTCTAAACAATCGCAAATTACTACAGATTTTATTCAAAACAATTCACCTTTGAATACTTATCATCATAATATAGAAAATCAACCCATGTATGCATAATTCAGAATGTAAATTCATCAAAAATTTCTCTTAAAAACCATGCGTCTATTAACCTAATGAATATTATGTCTTCAATTGCAAACACAAGTATTATGTGACCAAACACGTATAACTATCTCTTAAATTATAATGATGTACCCACACCATGTACTATTATAAGAGAATAAGAAAACAATTCATGAGACAATTGCTTAAGTTGTACAACAAAGTGCGAAGATCATATCTACATTTAATTTCAAACACCGCACTGCATAAAAAATTCTTTCGTATGACATTCCTTTCACGAGAAAACATCAGCCCAACAAAATTGACCTGCTCACCACTGTGTGACTTCATAGCTCAGTTGGTCAGAGCACTGCACCCGCACCGCAGAGGTCATGGGTTCGAATCTCGTTGAGTCACCTGATTTTTCCGGTTCATGAGACAATTGCTTAAGTTGTCCAACAAAGTGCGAAGATCATATCTACATTTAATTTAAATTAAAAACAATTCACTTAATCAACCTGAACAATTGAATCAAGATCAAGAATTTGCTCATCTAGATCAAGTATTTACAAGTCCTCATAAGAATAATTCTGATTGGATAGAAAAATAAGAAATTGATGGATGTTACTGAAAGAATAAAAAAAGAGAGAATGACCAATGATTTTGATTAAATTTTGTTTTTAAAAACAAGACATAGACTTTACAAGAAGTTATTATTAGTAAAGTTTTGTTTTTTAAAACTGTATGGCTTGTTTTGCATGCCCTTACTTGCATGTGTGTACATACTTATTCTTACATTTGTATTACATATCTTTTTCTAATATTGGCATTGATTGTATAAAACCCTTCCCTTTTTTTGACCTTCAATTTTCAAATGGCATTTAATGCGTAAGTATCTTGGTGGCTAAAATTCAACATGAACTATTAATATATAAAAAATTTTACTCATTAACATTTTCATATTTGAAATGTTTCACACGTGAAATGTATTCATTTGTAAAATGTATTCATATGTGAAATACATTTGTATGGGAAATATGTTCATATGTAAAGTATATTCATATATAAAACAAATCATATATGAACTCATTTTACATATGAACGCATTATAAATATGAAAGATTTCACATATGAACACGTTTCACATATGAAGTGTTTCAATTTCACATAAGGAGCTCCCATATCATTTAATGTTTGAAATTTTACTGTGAAACTTTCATAAGGGCACGGACGTACATTTGTTTTGTATTTTGAACTTTAATGAGTATAACACGTTCTAAAACTCATCTTGCCGAATTTCGTTTGTCTTTATAGGTGTTTAGAGAAAATTAGACGAGAAAAATATTCTGTTGTTGTATAACAAGATGTTTTGCCTTTTATGAGATTGATACAAATTCTTTTGTTTTTTTCTACATAAAAGATTTGACATATGTTAAGAAAATTGCCTCAAAATGAGAAACATACAACAAAAAAGTGTTTCTTATATTAATAAAGAAACCTAATTAAGCACATGTGGTTAATGTGTGATCACATGTGATTTACGTGTGATCACATGTGATTTACATGTGACCACATGTGGTTTACGTGAATAATATTGCCTATTTTAATATTTGACAAAACAGAGAATGTAGCAGATGCTTGGCAAAAAAGAGAATGTTTTAGATAAGAATGTATCAAACATAATGCATTGCGCACTTTTGCTTGTATGTACCGCGCTACGTTTCGAGCTTGCGGCACACTGAATTCAATTTCGTCACTACACTTTTAATTCATCTGAAAAGTTAAAAACAACATTGATTAAAAGATCTATTTTATATTAATTATTTTCGTTTGTCTAAGTTGCATAGGCAAAAATAACAAAATTCACACTTTTCTCTGCCCACAAATTGGCGTCACCTTTCTTCAATAAACTTATTTGTTGGAGTACATCAACATGTCATTGTTCTTTAAATAGTTTATATTTACAATATAGCTATGTAATAAAAATGGGGGAATGCAATTCAAAGTATAAGCAAATTGAGCGATGTTACATAATGCAACAAAAGTATATGAGGAGTGAAAACATCGCTTAGGAGTGTAGTTTGTCTTTTACCAGAATTTTTTTTTAATTCACTTTTTGTCGTGCAGTCAAGAAAAATAAACATTCAATGACGCGTTGCAATACATCAGTAAAACGTTAAAAGACTATTCATTTAAACAAATAGAAAATCGTTAACATTTGTTAAAGTTCCATTAGATTAAATGATGAGTTAAAGAAGTGAAATCCAATAACATTCAAAGTAATTCAACAACAATCATTGATAACGAACAAATGAATATGCATTTACATGTACTCATTTACTGTATCAAAGGATTTAAAATTGCAACTCAAGATCTTTCTGTTGTTGTAACTCACTTAAAGCGAGGAACAGTAAGACAATTTGTGGAACATGAACACATTGGTGAAAGAGCACGAAGTGCATTCAAAAAAAGGAAAGTGGACGATGAAATGAAGCAATGTGCCTAAGTCACTTCACAACTTATGGTAAAAAACTGTTTTCTTGCACAGACATAACAAGCAAGGCTTATATGCAAAGGTAAATGTAAGATTTATTTTTCACTGATTAAAACAGCAAAAATCGTAACAATGAATTATTCCAAAAACTTCTTGCTCATTTCAAAAGGAATTCTACCAGTTAGATCACAAAATTTTGCTTTGCCAAATGCTTCAAATCCTTTATTTGTGACGTAATGCGGCTGCGGATTTTCGTCTGTAATCGCTTTTAGGATAAACTCGGCTACTTCTTCTGGAGATTGAGCTTCAGCCGCCATTTTGGAGGTCTTTTCAATCAATTTTTCCCCAAGCACTTTGACGTCATAAATTACTTCATACCCGAACATTGACGTGATTACAAAATGTACAATCTTTCATCTAGAGTTTTAAACGAATGTTCTGTTTTAAAAGAAAACAACGACATAACATTGTTAAAACAACAGACAAGGTGTTGCAACGTTGCTTCTACGTTGCACCTACGTTGCTTGTACAACGTTGTTTTATTTTGTAGACAGATGTAATAGAACGTTTTTAATATTTGAAAAGTAGACCAAATAACACAAATATGTTGTGCTACATATATAAACGCATTAAATAATTTTCATTTTAGAATAAGAAGTAATTACAATATTATTGCTCATCATTAGATCACATTGGGCATTAAACTACACGCTTTGACTTATCAATTTAAGTAACGAAGGGAAACAGTCGATAACATTTATTCATGCCGCATAAAAATTAGAAATATTCAAGCAGCATTAACGTGCATTCAATATAATGAAAATCATACTCAGATAAAGCAGACATTCAAGCTCTGTAGAATTTTCATCAACACAATGGAACAATCTAGAGCACTAATTGACAATCAATAACTTTTATAATTGTGATAAAATGATCTCGTTCATTTTTTTCGTATGTAGGTTTATTTTTTAACGCATTTTATTAGAGCTAGACATTTTAGCTTCAACAAGCGTGCTTATGCACTATTTAGGTAATGTATTTGAGCCAAGCCAGTATATACAATGTAAAGATGCATTATACCATTTACGACCAATATACAAGCCAAGTCCATTATACATTGAATTCTAGAGTTTTTATTGTACCAGAAGCAACGAGTAAGATTGAGTACTGATTACTTTTCTAAATAGTGGAATGTTTCACCTGGTGTGGCTAGGGAGCTAAACTGCTAAACATTTACATTGTTGTCAATTTTTTTCCCATCAAAACTGTTAATGTGAAGCTCAAAAGTTAATGGCTGGACAGTCTATATCACCCCCACTCTTGAAAGTTACTTAAAGAAACAATATATCATGTGGTGATTCAGTTTCATCAAGCCGTGCTTAATTTGCGTGAAAACTTTAGAGATGAAAGTTAGTGGAAAATATTTTAGTTTGCGTATTCCAACATTACAATGAATTATAACTTATTCATAAATAAAATAACACTTTCATTTGATACAATGGCCAGCCTGGTTACAAAATTTTAATCTTTATTTAAATCGCATTACCACCCCGGATTTGTGTGGTTTGTAAGAGTCCAGGGATAAATTTGAAAAATTAAGAAACATAGAATTTAAGTATCCCTTAATTGCCCCTTCCTCTGATCTGTAGTCGCTAAATTTGTAATTTAAATGCACAAAGTAGCCATATAAGTATTCAAAGTTGGCATAAAATTTATTGAAAAATTAAGTATGACCTATATATCAATTTACATAAGCTAAGAAAAAATTTCCTTTTCAAATAGTTAAACCATCCGATAACAGACTCTTAATATTAATAATAGTTACTTACTGAACATTGAACGTTGCAAGCTCAGGCGCCAGGGAATCCGAAATTCCTTCCAAAGCATATTTTGATGAGGCATATACGGTGACGAACGGAACGCGCAGTGGGCCAAAGACGTTCGTGTCGTAGAGGCTTGTGATGGTATCCCAAGGCTGCACTTCGATGGCCCCACACCAGCTAATAGCAGCGTTGTTCACTAAATATGCAGTGTTATAACGAATAATGGAGCATTTAAAATATAGTACTTTTGATAATAATGTCAATGAGTTTAACGAAAGCACGTCAATAGCATTAGATTAGCGCTTTGACATTTGGAAAACCCTTGCGTCCTAATAACTATTAGGACGCAAGGGTTACGCCAAATGAAACTAGGTTCATTTGTGATACACGGATGATTATATTTTATTGTTGTGTGTCAGCTGACACGCATTACAAAAAAACTGCAAATATAATTAAATTCAATTACTATAGTTTGTGTGTATTTACTACTGAAACAAATCCTAAGACAACATATTGTTCTCATTTATAAGAAGAAACCATAATCAATTGTGAAGGCTTCACTTTGCTGAAGTGAAATTCATGTAATGCTATTTCATCTTGTTTGCTTAATGTTCACATAACAGTCGTGTGTATTCTTTTATAAAAACCTTTAGCAACGACAAAAGCTTGCATGTGAACTTATAAATATTTTGTGCTTTTGTATCTTTTCATTTGAAAATGCAACACTTACAAAATCAAACACACAAAAAGCATAGTGATTTGCAACTTAATCAGGTTGGTTCTGTTTTACAATGAAGTCTCTTATAAATTTTGCAGTGCCAGGGCATGATACAATTGTACTCATGGTAAATCCCTTAGTGTCCACTATTGTTCACAATTTGGGCGAGCTGACTGGAAGCTGGAGTCACTAAATCTCTTCTTAGCTTCACTTATATTGTCTAAAGACATAGGTGAATGATGACAATGACACAACAACTGACAATTAAACAACAGTTTCCAATATCAAAAATAAAATAAGAACTGTTTTCTCATTCAAGATGGCAACATGTTTCAACTCTCACACTTGATGTATAACGAACAATTAGATAATACCATTTTAGATAAGGAAAGTGTTTGATATTAAATAATAATAAGACAATGATTATTAGTATTAACTATAGCAGTTCTAGTTCATAAATTATAATGATGCCTCATTATGGATGAGACATTTTTTGAAGAGTGCTCCATTAAACACTGTGCACATTTGGCTTTGCTATGGATTTGTAACATGCTTTAACACCAATTTTCCAATTGCTTGTTAGACGTGTTATTTTGTGCAGAAGCTACATATATGAAAAGTGCTTCTTGGTATTATATGTAATTCATATCATTAAGCATGTTACTTACGATAAATTTTCTGTCATGAATCAGTACAAGTCAATTATCTATTCTAACAAAATATTTTCAATTCTTGCCCGCCGATGAAAACAACATTTCTTTGCTGCTTAGTTTTTTTTATATAAACCCAGTAGAAATGATTTCAATAGAGTCACTAATGTTTGAAGTGTTGCCTATAAATATATTTAGGTGTCTCTACTATAAAGACTAATGCATGGATAGAAATCGTATCCCTAACAATTCCTTCTTACGAACAATAGCTAACAGCAAAAGGACTTGTCCATGCAACACGAAACGCCTATTTACAGAAGCCATGTTTAAAGTTCGAGACGATTATAGATTACCCGTCCATTTTCAAAGGCACCCTTACAAATTCAAGGATACTGCATACATAGTAAAACATATAAGTTAATTTAAACTAAAATTCTCATTTAGTTCTCTATTATTATTTATCTAGTATTGTTAAATGGTCAAAATAAAGAACGAAGTATAAAGAACGAGACATATTATATAAATGGAGAGTGAGTGGATGGGTATCTTATAATGTTTTTACTGTGCGTGATATGCAAATGTGAACGTTTCGGTGTTATTCATCCATGACAAATCGTATCTATCGATGTAAATACGTCCCGATTTATACGACTAGTGTGAACCAGGCTTATCATACGAGTATTGAAATTGATGCGCAATAAAACGGTTAAAATAAAAGTCATATGCATAAAATTTCTGAGCACCCGATAGGAAATGTCATTTTCTTCACAAGTGAAAAAAATGCATATCAATTTTTATAACAAATGATAACAAATGATGAACAGCAATAAAATTAAAGAAAACTAAAACGATCTTTTTTGATTTCATTTATCAATGGCTTTGAAATTTGATAAGACACTATATGTAAGCGAATTCAATGTAAATGTAAGGAAAACGATAAAAACGGCAGGACATTTGATTTCTTCAGTAATTTTCATCGTCGGAACATGACTTTCAAAGCATTGACAATATTCCCGCCAAGAAACTCAATGTATATCTAAGCATGTTTATTAAGCTTTCGTCCGAAAGATAAAAGATTACGTAAAATACGTTCCTTCGTAAGATAGGCAGTGGCGTAACTAGGAAAAAATGTTTGGTCATGCTCTCTTACAAGCTCACGAGGCGCCACCATGGCTGGCAGCAAGTGAGAAATTTTTTAAAATTTACACCATCTGCCAACACCAAAACAACAACATTCACCCAACCTGTTGAAGTTTAAGTAATGCTTGAACTCTACGAAAAAATGTTTTTAAAAGACAATATTCAATATCTACGTTAACGATGATTAGTAATACACGAAGCAATTCACTCTCGTTCCTTAAGATTGCAAACAATTATCTATGTTGTGTTTAACTGCATGAAGACAATACAAACTCTGTAACTTTAATGATGAGGAAGGCAAACTAACAATAATATAAAAAATAAATAAAAGGAATTGTCAAAACAGGAGTTAAATTATTAGGTAGTTTTTAGATAATGAAATAAATACAAAAACCTTGAATCTTTCTGACATTTATCATGCAGCATTAATGATAGGAGCTTTATAAGACGATCTTGTATCACCAGGATAAGAAAAGCCAGTTATGTGTGAAGTAAGAAAGGCCTTTTCTTTGGAGTATTGTTTCTAAAAATGTGGAAAGTACAAACATCAACAAATATTCACAACTGAAATTGAGGTCGCAGCTTGCCAAAATACAAGACTCAGGTTATGGGCAGCACAATTAACAACACGAGCAAACTCGAGATATGTAAAAGGAGTTGATTGGATGCCTTCACAAGATAATCAAATTTTAAAAGAGATGGATAATTCACTTTTGTAAGTATTCAGGGGCCGGTTGTATAAAGCTCTTAACTACTTTTTAACTACACTTTTTTCAGTTAAAAAGTAGTTAAATTTAATCACGTGGTTAAGTCGGTTGTATAAAAAAGTAGTTAGCCCTAACTTCAGTTAAAATGTAGTTAAAGTTAACTATCCTATGGAGCATAGTTAGCTTTTCAAAACACAGTTAAACATGGCGGCTTAGCTTCTCAAAGACAATTATGGGCGAGATGTTGTTGATCAACAAGGTTTTATCTTGCGCTTTTAATCACATATGTATCTTCCATGGCAAAGGCTTTTAGAATAAGAGCTTTATGGACAATGTACTACATTTGTCAGTGCTGTAAACATCCCAAGTTTTGCTGAAGAAAAACAGCCAAAATCTTATCCGCGTAACAAATCCCTTTTTAAACAAAAGCAATTGCATTTTGTTTTGTCTTTTTGCGTCAGGTAGCTCTTTCAACTCATAAACGACACTCTCAATTGAGATAGAGCCACTTCTTTAAGATTAGTGCACATAATTCGCTGACATTGTCTTACAACTACGTACAATTCGTTCAATGACAAAAAAAAGAAAGAGTGTTATTCGAGCAATGAATCCTATAGCCTTGGATGTATCAAATATTCAAATTGCGGGTTTTTCCCCATGCATTTTGCTTAATTGAAGATCATATGCATCATATAAACTCTTTGCTCTATGGAAAATAAGCTAGATTATGTTAAAACAAATAGGTACTACAGTATAAATGTTGTGCTAAATATACCAATGATAATACATATAGATACATGAGCTTTACAACAGTTTTTATTCATGACTACTCTTATCAGCTGCATGAGATACAATGATGTTAGTTTCTTAAATACATAAAACATTTCATCAGCATGCATGGTGAAGGTCCATGTTGCTTGATATATATACATTATCCATTGCACATGGCTTATTACACAAGCAGAAAATATACATGACAGTCAATTAGTGGGTTTTATTGATATTTCATCATATATCTTATGTAAAAATGTCTATTTTTAATGTACATACAACCTTGCCTGCCAATATTTTTCTAAGAAGCAGAAAGCTTTAGCTACTGTTTGATGATTTAAAAAGTAGGAAAAAAAAATAAAACTCCCAAGCTTTAGACAAAAACAGGCTAATAAATCACAAAGGCCTAAATAAAAGTTTCATAGCTAAGGCTAATTAACAAATATACCCAATAGTTTTTATAACTCAGTTTTTGCAAGGCAGAATTAAGAACAAATAATATTTTGTGTATAGCTGTGAATATAAAATGTCACAAGCATGATGACTCAAAGAAATGCTTTCTAATAATAAAAAAGTCCATCTCTGTCATCTTTTATAAATATTTGTGACTTATGTCTTTACAGACACATTTCTTTCAAGCATTTTACTCAGCTGTTATAAAGAGAAACGAAACGACCTTTTCCTTTGTTACCCTTAATCTCTCAGTTTTAAATTCTGTAGAAGCAAGGCCATTCAATTGTTTAAATCCTTGAACATCGAACACAATCTGAATCACTTGACAAGAGTTCATACTTTCGTTTGCCCAAGTCCATTATATATAATTGGTACATGAAAGAAAGCAGTTCTTGCCGAGACGCGCATATCATTCATCAACATCGTACTGTTATACACAGAAGAAAACGGTCGATTTTCTTGAGAAAATTCCAAAGCATATGCTACAATTTAATTTGGTTACCCTGTCAGCGTGAATTGTTTATTAAATTTTATTTTCGCATCATCAATATCCGTAAAAACGACAATAGTTTGCTATATTTTAAGATTTTTACTTAAGCCAAGAGATTTTTCCTCATTTTAAAATCGTTTTATAGTTCACTTGCCCGCCATTACAAAACATAAATTGATTAAATTTTATGTCATTTAACGTAAAAAACACTCCACGCAATTTCTACGCAAGTTAACTACGCAGTTACTTAACTATCCGACAAACTACGTTTTGTGCAACGCAGTTAAGTCGAGCAGTTAAGTTACTACAGTTAATGAGTTAACTACGGTAGTTAGCGTTAACTATAGTTAACTACGTTTTTATACAACCGGCCCCAGGTTGATAAGGCCCCTGATGTTTCCAACAAAGAGCAATAAAGTATGATTGTTTGCATGAATAAAAAGTGAATTTTATTAAAATGCAGCTTGGATTTGCATATGGAACTTATAAAACTGCAACTACTATATCAACATTGGCAAGAGGTAAAATGAATAAACATAGAAACCTCAGAAGAATTTACCAGACAAACAGATGATTGAAATAGCAGTTGCAGTTGTATTGCAACTTCAAATCCAAGTCGCCTATCAATGATATTTCCATCTTATTCATGCGAATAATACTTAACTGCTTTTTACTGGAAACACGTTGTTTCGTCAACCTGAATAATCAGAAAGAGCAATCATCTATGTTCTTCAAAATTTTGTCTTCTATGATGAAATCAAGTCATCAAATCAAATCATTTAACATGTCTGGTGACACATTGGCAGAACATGCATCCAATCAAGCCTATGATGCAAATACCTTCTAAAGACAAATAAAATTATAGCAAAGTACTCAAGAAGCTCCTTAAAATTCTCTATTTATGCTATCAATTAATTAGTCATGACCAATACAATTATATCCGTTTCAATATAAAATAGCAGTTAAAGTTTTGAGGATTGCTTTTTTTCCCTTACCTCTTTCATTTTATTTTAAAGTTGAATGTCTTCAGGTTGTGATTGTGACATAAGAGAGTTCACATTAAGTCAAAGCCAAATTCTCTGTACGCAGTATAAATTTGCAAGTTGCCATGTACGAATTGGTCTTGAGTTTCTTAAATTTAATCGTCTATGACGTGAAAAAAAATCCTTGATCCCCAGGAACAACAGGCAGGCCAGCAAAATCACTGGCCTTGGGATGCTATCTTGACTTCGCTCTTCCATAAAGCCTATCTTTCTTTGTGTATCAACCCTTCCAAAAGCTTCAAACACGCAATCTTGTTTACAATTACGGCATCGGCCTTCGGTTTACGATATTTTAGTAGGCAGAATATCAAGCAAAGAAAAACTTTCCCGGCAAATAACCGATGATATCTGTTTCAGCCTCATATATACATGGAAATAAATGATGGATAATAAAGATAGTGTTTTGTAATGTTTTGAATGTATACGAGCTTCGAACACGAATCTCGCAAGTAAAGAAAATTACTTGCGGATTAAGTTTGGTCATGCCTTTCAAAATCAGCATTACCAGATGACTTAAAATGTCGCGTTTGAGCATGCTCAGATGCTCTTATTCAATCAGATTAGCAAAAATTTCACTATAAAATATATTACTTTGTCATGCTGATTTTTGAGATTATGACCAACTCGCGCTTATAAGCGTAGAATAAGTTTTAGTTTAAGCTGTTGCCTGGCAGCAAGGTAAAACGTAATGGAATACTAAAATAAGACACAAAATGCAATTCATTAGTTGACCTTTGTCCCAAATACTTATATGTAAATAAGAAACAATCAGGCATCAGAATCTACAATGACTCTAATAAGAATAAAATAATTTTTGTAGAAATTTTTAGTCATGCTGAGCATGACCAGCATGACCGCTAGCTGCGCCACAAAAGATAGGAAATAATATTGATAATGTTTAGACAGAAACGATGCAAAATATAGTTTGTCATCATGTTCATTAACAGTTTATTTGTGTTGTTGTATATTTTTATGGAAATTACGTGATTGTTTTTGAGCGTTTAATTTGAGTCTATCAGTTCAGCTCTATCAGTTCAGCGACAAATTTCACTCTCTTCGAAAATTTAATACTTATAATAAAACGATAACTTCATGGCTGGTTCGTTTGTACGATTTTTGTTACTCGTGCTTGTAAATCGTAAGCACTCCCCAAACATGAACTAATCTATGTGAAACAATAATCATGTATTTTAGTAGACGTTAGTTTGCCAAAGTTTAAGACATGTAGTAAATAGTACACACAGTTGAACAAATTACTTGCGAATTCATCAGTGTTAGTGACTGTACGCTCAGGTAGTTGTTGAATTAGAATAATTTGCATTTACGTAAAAGATTACTCGGTTGTTTGGGTTTGGCACATTTGAATATTCTAAGCACAATGACCCACTAAGAGGCTGTTCATATGAGCCCGTCTAACAGGGGCTCAGTGAGGTGTTAATTGATTCTGATACATTGAAAAGAGGCAAAACGTCAAGCTTAAAAATTACAACTGTTTGTTAAGTACCACAAGTTATTCCTGTTGAAATTTTCAAATTAAGAAAAACTGGTTGTTTCAATTTTAAATGTTTTGCGTAGTTATTAAATCAGAATATTGTGAAATCGCTAGAGAACATTTATCTGACGATAAGTAAAGAATCGTTTAATTTTGCAAAATTATAATAAATACATGGCTGATTATTGTCATCATGTGAATGCAATTAAACAACTTTTTTTATAGTCTTAAACCTAATACTAAAATGGCGCAAATTGTCAAGAATACTTGTAGAAATCATATCAACAATATCGATTTTCCCCTCCTTTTGCAGAATGTGTTTAACAGCAGAGTTGACAGAATCTTCTGAACAAACATCCAGCTCAATTATAACTGCATTGCTACAACCAGCGATTTTCTTTTCGAGTTCACCTCTCTTGTTTATATTTCTCATTGATGCATACACTTTAAATTTCTTATTGGCTTGCATTGCAAGCATCTCAGCCGTCGAAAGACCAAGGCCATGGGATGTTCCAGTAATAAGTACAATTTCTTGTACCATTTCTTTTTCTAAGGAACTCATCGTTGCTTAGCCAAAAAAATATAACCTGACGAGACTCAATACAGGTCAGAATTTTCTTTTCAAATTTATACCATAATTACAGGAAAAACTCTTCACGTGTATTACTTATGTTTTAAAAAATTAGCCAATCAGAAAATGTAAACAAACGATTGAGAAAATTGCACTTTGTCCGAATCATTTAATGAGCTACGTTTTTAAGTAAACAAATATAAAACCAAAGAATCTTGTAAAGCAACACGCGTATTTTGGAATTTTATCTAGAACCGAATTTATGGGCTTTTGAACAACAACCGTTTTACACGTGCGATGTAACATTGGTCATTTGCTTGGTTTACAAGTGTTAACAATTTTACTGAAAGAATTGAGCAAATACTTACACAATGTACAATTAATTAGCTTAACAGCTTGAAGAATTTAATACTTAACACCTGTCATCTTGTTCTTGTCGGAACTATCTTGTGTAAGCCTCTAGAAACCAATGGTCTCGCCATTGATAAAGGCTAAAGCAGCGAACAAATCCCAAGGAATCATTTTATTTGGCGATTTTGGTTGAAAATTGCACAGTTTTGGTTGCCTTTCATATGTGGGTGTTTTATGGCTAACGTTTTGCTTGACGAAGAAGAAACCTGTCAACCGTTTGTTGATTGTGGTCCCTGCCAGCAACCTACTCTTCTTAGCAAGACGATTGGTTGTCGACAATACTGGTTTCATTTGAGTCATCCAGTCTCTTCGTTCAAATGTTTATTGTCGACAATTTTTATTTATTACCCCTTGTTGAAATTGTCTGGTCAAGCAAGTTAGGGTTGATGAAATGTGCCATCAGAAGTTGCACAAAATATTCTATAGCTAATTTAGAAGGCACAACAATTAAAATTTGTATTTTCTATGTACAAGCTGCTGCTTGATGAAACAGGGCTATACCCCTTACCAACAGACATACAAAATATCGTTCTTTTACCTTGCAGGTTTTGGTGGATTTTCTACTTAAGTAAAATCTTAAGGCAGCAATACGTTAGTCACAAATTTTTTCAAATAAAATTAGAAGACCGCCATTTAGCTCACTTTACCTAATAAGAGGAAAAAATACCATAAATTTCCCCCAGTGGCGGATCTTTCATTTCTGAAACATCAGTCATGGAGCGCCAGAGGTGCTTCCAACCTACGGGGGTCCAGGGGCATAATACGTCGGGGGTCTAAGTAGATATCAAGCAGCTTTTCACACTTTTGTCACAGAGCTCTTACCCGTGCCAGTTAGTTTCCAGGCTTCGAAAGTGGACTAGTGCGCGCGCATATCAACCAGAAATAGGGGTTAATAAACAAGGCATGGCATTGGATGGCGTGAAAATTGGAAATACGACAAAGCTGGAAGTTGCATGCTATTGACAAAGTAACATTAAATCCGTTTCCTTTTCTCAATCGAAGGTAAAAACGGTAGAAAACGAGGTAATTGCATTTTATAGCTTATAATTTATCGAAAGGTTTACATTTTATCTCTTGAAACAAATGGAATTGAATGTAGACATTGATCAGGCATTAAGAATGAACAAATTGCCTTTGGAGTCAGAAAAGAATGAAATAACTGTACGTCAAAGTTTGTTAGAAAATAAACTTTTAGACTGCTATGCTGAAGAAATTGCTGCAATGATAAACGCTAAAGTAAATAAGAACAGCATTGGTTGCATAATTTATCACCCTCTCATCGTGAGCATGATTGTTTGATGATGGAGCATGACGAGTGTATGTTGTTGCATTTTGATGATGCCTTGGAAAATGTGTCTGAAGAGATTGTGATCAAAGATTTTATGACAAGCATTGAAAATGTCAAGCCACCCGTTAATGGACTTGAGATACTAAAATACACTTGTAACGATTAGTGTAAAATATTTGTTTCGGATAAAAAGAACGAACTTGAAACACGAGTCGTTAATCTTTTGTAAATATATATTTTTATTTATTCCAGTTCGATTTGTAAAGTCAACCATTGTACATTGTTCTAAAAGAAATATAAGAAACATGTACGAATATTCTGCTTGCATGTTAGCACTTCTGTAAAGATATACGTAAGCGATGTAATATTACGTAGAAAAAACATTTTACGACAACTGCAAACGAATTATAACTTACTCGATAAGGTCTTTAATGAGACGATCCGTCTCTGAATCCGTAATAGTATACGAACAAAAAAACGTTAAATGAATTTAATTGTAATGAATTAATTTTACCTTAAAAAAAAACTTTATAGATGTACATACCCGCAAACGAGACATTCAAACTGAATGTCCGTCTTGTTAAACATTTTTTCGATCACATCAGCAAGATGTGATACATTCCCACACGATGGTTTTACAAGATAATCATCACAGTGATCACATTTTTCTAAAAAATAAAATCGACGTTTCAGTTAAAGTTAACACAAACACCCTAAAGAACAGAAAAAAGAAAAACGGTACTTACTGAAGGTATAAAACGACGCTTATGGAGAGGCCATCCTTCTTCAATCGCATGTTTGGATTTTTGCAGAGTTTTTATGATGTATGCATCTCCACAAAGGCTCTCTGTTTTGTAAGTGGTTGAGATGCACTACACATGCGCCTGAGATGTGACCTTCGTTGCCATCTCGCAAATGTAAATTAAAAATTACCGTTGAATAGTTGACCTTGAATAATGTGGCGTGGGTAAGATCTGTGCAGTACCTACTGAGAGAAATGATGCAGTTAATGATAAAAACGCTTAGGAGAGATATCTAACAATGGAAATAATGGAGAGGGATGAACATAAGTCAATATTAAAGGGACATGAAAAGAGCCTTTAAAATACCGACCGACATGATACAGTAAATGATAAGGACCACACGAAAGATGCCTAACAATGTGAATAAAGTATAGGTTTGAGCATGAGTCAATATTGAAGGGAAATTAAAAAGAAAAATCATTTTGTGAAGATAAGATCCTGTGGTGTGGGCGGTATCATACAGATGAAAGTGATGCAGTTAATGAATGATAGGCCCCCTCTGGAAAGATATCAAACGATGCACCAAAAAGGGATTACTGATTTGAACAAGCATGAGTCTTACACTTGAATGTGATTCTATTCAATTTTTTACTCACAGTATGAATGTGACCTATTCTTCTTTAAAGAAAATCATGCGTTGGTAAATGATTATTCATGTGATGGCCAACACTTTAAAAAAGGTGGAAAATGTTCTTGTTGCACTTTAGCTCGAACAGAGCTTCATAAACGAGTTGAATCTGTGTTAAGAGAGCAAATAATCTGAACATCATTGTTTCGATTGAGAAATATCCATGTTTCTGTGGTGCAGGCCTCGAGAGAATCGTATCTAAGAAGGATGAACGTTCGTATGTTAAATGTACAGGTGAAGGATGCACATTGTTCTGCCACGATGAAAGGTACCATATTATAGTGGATGCCTACGAAACGAAAGTCGTGAAAGAATTCAAACCTAACAAGCTCCCCCTGTGCGGATGCAGTTATCCAGGTAGTCTCATGGTCTCCCAATCGAGCAATAATCCTGAAAGGCCATATTTTTGATGTCAATCTATCGCCGACGAAGAAAAATGTAGCTTCTTCCATTGGGGGGACGTGACTATGAATAGCAAAACCATTAAGAAAAAAAGAAGGTTGAACTGAATGACCATAAGAGGAAAGAGCCTAAGGAAAAGGACCCTAAAACGGTCGCCGTTAAGAAACAGAAAAAAAGGAACAACCCATTCCAGGACGATGAACAAACACGAAACGTTAAGCAATAATAATAATAATAACAATGCATGCACGAGGGATGATCACTGTACCTAACCATAAAAAATTCACGTTTTTGACTTTCAAAATGAAATGTATAAATATTGCTCTCGAGATGTAACTATTTTACGCCTGTGTTGCATTGAATTGAGAAATCTGTTCATAGCTGAGACTACCATAGATCCGTTTTGTTACTGTACAATTGCTTCTTCGGTCATGGCTGTGTTTCGTTCAAATTATTTAAAAGAAAAACCCATAGGTATTGTACATTACTGAATTTGTCTGTAGGAGTTCTAAAATTATGCTTATACAGTTAGTAATGGTAAACAGCATTGTAAAATAAGGGGTTTCACATTGAATTCTAAAAATAGCTTGCTTTTAAACTTTGATTTGTTGAAAGAAATGATTTATAACTATGTAGAAAAACCATCAACTGTAGAAATAGACGAAAGTAAAATAGTCAGAGAAAAATGGTCGCGCAAACTTGCAAATAGAAATAAAATTAAAAAATATCAAGTTGTCTTTGACAAACGAATAATAATAGACGAAGGTGCCGATACCATTCCCTATGACTATCATTGGTTTGCGACAATTGAAAGTTCACACCATCAGACTTCTCCCACATACGATGCGATGACGAATGATATTTTGTTTACATCCGTTCATCAAATTGTGCAAGAAAATGACAAGGAAAGCGGGTCTGAAGAGGAGGAAATTAGCAAGTCGATTGATTTAACGTTAACCGACTCCGATAACGATGAAGTCTTTTCCGAACGACAATCAGATATGGAGTTTCTAGATGACAGCGATCAATCCGACAGTAAACTTTCATTTTACAGACTAGTGGATCAACAAATATAATGCCAATACAGGTAAATTAAAGTTACATACATATACTGTATACATATTTAACAGAAAAAAAGATGAATAGTTAAACAGTTTTGAATCAATGACAAGCAAACTAACAAACAAATATACATGTTTTTAGACTGAAGTTGTTTGACACATTTCTACACTAGACAAGGCTAACGATGATTGAACACGATACGCAGTCATTTCTATTGGATCGGTATGTACAGACGGAAATAGCGACGACAATTGTGAACCATACATCAACATTATACAGACAAATATGGAAACTATCGTAGAAGGAACCAACACATAAAAGTTGACAGCTCATAAACTGTTGGAACAAAATACATAAATGATGAAGACGATACCAT